TTACAGAATTGCCGGACAGATTCTAGGAGGATTGCCAAAGGACTCTGATAACAGAGCAATTGAATCTTCTGCCTCTGGTTTTGTTTACGTAAAGTATTTGAACTATATAACTTGAAGTTTCATCTGTGGATACAGGTGGGACAGAACATATGTGTGTGTGTGTGTGTGTTTGTATAATATTCACACACACAGACACACACACACATACACTCATGTGTGATCTATATGTGTGTGTGCGTGTATCCATTCCTACAATCACAGGGTGTTCATCCCAAATTGTGGAGCTAAAAGTGTGTACGGATTCTCTGCCTTCCAGGTCCCGGTTGTCCCAAAGGGGCTTTTTCAGGAGACAATTGGATTCCCAGAGAAAAGAAATTTCAGACGACAGGAACCACTTGCACCACTCAGGTGACCCCGAGGACCCAGAGAAACCCCCCAAGTGGCCTCAAGGACCCTCTTAAAGGGTGCAAATGACCATTTCTGTTTGCAAGGAGCATCAATCCTTCCATTTCCCCACCATCCAGTCAGAGCTGAAGAAGCTTCTGGGATGAGAAGCGAAACAACTTCAAAAGAAAAAACTAGAGAGTCCAGTTACTTCTGAAAAAAAATCCCCTTTGGGACAACCTGGAGGACTCAGAACCTCCACAGACTGTCTGCATGGAGGCAACCGAGCTCAAGGAGCACCAAGGACTGTGGCGGTGAGGGCTCCCTCGGGCCTCCGGGAGGGCGAAAACAGCCTCCCCCGGGCTCCCGAGGCATTCCGAAAGCCGGAAACAGGCCCGTTTCGGGACTTCCGGGACTCCCGGTTCGGCCTGGGCTTCGCCCTCTCAGAGCCTCCACGCGGGCCCTGCACTTCCCCGCATCGGAAATGGGCTCCGTGGAGGCTCCTGGGAGGGGAGGGGTGGGCGGGGCTGGTTCAAATCCTGGTTTGGTGAACCAGATGCAAATTTAACACCTGGTTCTCCCGAACCGGTCCGAATGGGTAGAACCCTGCCCCCTGCCCCACCCCTTCTGTTTATACACAGTGTGTGTGTGTGTGTGTGTGTCCTGGGCAGCATTTCTGGTTTCATTCATCATCGATGCCTCCTGGTGGCCGGTGGACTAAATGTTTGGAAGAGTCAAGTGAATGTACAACCGTGCTGGGGTTTCTTCTCGTGCCGAGTCCCTCCCGTGGTCCAGTCGCTTCTTGGAAGCCTCCGAGGACGGAGCACGCACAACTCGCGGAGGCAAGTAGTTCCACTGGTCGATTGCTCTCCCTGCCAGGAAATTCCTCCTGAGTTCTAAATCGCTTCTCTCTCCTTGAGGAGTTTCCTGCCTTCAATAGGTGGACCCCCTCTTTGTGGGGGCAGCCCCCAAATACTGGAAGAGGGTGATCATGTCACATGTGGATGCGGGGGGGAGTGATAGAGGGCAGACGAAGAACGGAGGCACTTTCTTGGTCTCCCTGGACTGACCCAAAGGCTGACCCAGGGACCCACTGCAATCCTCCAAGCCTCCTTGGCGGAGTCCCTCCACTGCCAGGGTCTCCATCCTTGGGCCTTGAGCTGCACGGATGCGCCTGGATCCTTGACCACCCCGCTAGGAGGGACTGGCCAAATGAGAGGGAAGGAAGGAAGGAAGGAAGGAAGGAAGGAAGGAAGGAAGGAA